GCTCCCAGTACTAACTTACTGATGTGAAACATGCACCCTAAGTCTGAAAGTTACTAGCAATTTGCAGACTACGCAAAAGAGCATGAAAAGATGTTGTTGGGAATAATAAGAAAAGGTACGATGAAGAATCAATAGATAAAAGCACATACAAGAGACGGCGATGGCACTGCTGAGTGCAAAAGCTGAGGTAAGAATGGGCAGGGATTCAGTGCAAGAAAAACGATCGTCGCTGAACCGGACTGATGGTAGAATGGGTTCCAAAAAAGTGTAAACGACCAGTAGGAAGACCTGCAGATCGATGGTAAGACGAGCTGAAGAAGTTCGCTGGATGAAAATGACTGAAAACAAAAATCAATCAATAGCGAAGTCCTGGAGAAGCATTTATTTCGCAGTGGTTCGAGAAAAATGTATAATAATAATGAACCTCGCGACCACAACAACCTGCACCAAAACGGCTGTATGAAAGCATCACGGACCGCCCTAAACACTGTTTCCTTGAGTTCCAGAGGGAAATTACAAAATAGTTATGAAGTAACTAGTCATACACCCGGTGGATAGGAGCAATTTTCCAAACGTGAAAGCGTCAATGTTCCACTGCTGTTTCGGGTAATTCGCAGAGAATCAAATTTCAGACACGCAACTTAACAGTTCAATTATCAGTTTGAGCTTGTGATTTCTGGGCGATGGAAAAACTTTGAACAGTAAACACATTGTGGCTACTGTTACGTCATGTTACTATTATTCAATAGGTAGGCTATGACAGTTTAAATTAATTTAGTTATATGTTTTCCGCGTTATTTACTTATTTAACTTACGTATTTCATTCTACTGAATTATCTGCTGAAAATTAGGGTCTTTCGACAATCTTGTTCAACAAAAACATTCACCCATCAAACCAAAAATTAAAAAAAACACCATGAAAGAAAACTCACCTGAAAACGTTTTTTCGTTCTCTTCCTGAGGCTTTCCTTTGACGGCATTGTAATACTGCGCCTGCGAAATCATGCTGTGCATCCCGAGGATACCTTCAAAAACAAAGACATTACAAATGACACGTTGAGAGCGAGTGCTCTTCAGAAAAAAATCCGTATCGCAAATACCTGCCAAATCGATTAAATCCGACTCTCCGGCTTCTGAAAGAGCCAGTTCGAACTCTTTTTCATTCTCAAGATCAAACTGTATTTCGTTTGTGGCGACGTTCTCTTTTTCCTCTTCCTTTGGAACAAAAACTTTGCCTAGATGGATGAGTACCATGATTATAGTTATAATGATATGCATATGCACTAAAAATGATTTCAAAAAGCTTACAAATGCAGCACTGGTATTTTCTAACTCAGTAGAACTCAACCTGATAATGCACGCCGCAAATTTTGTTACGAACAACGATGCGATAAAATCATGTTTAATCTAAGATAGTCGCATAGTAGTGAAATTGTTGCATATAAGTCGAGGGATCGAATGCATGCAACTGCATAGAGGATTTCCTAATCTTTTACCATCGGATGGCAGAGAGTCGAAGATCCTCCCCAATACGATTCCACAATAACTCAGTGAAGGATCATGGCCACAGAATCAACTTTCTGAAAAGGAACTTCGTCCTTTCAGCCAGTGCAGTTGAAGCGATAAGTCGTCAGATTTCCTTCCCTGTATTATAAATCACACCGTGCATGCTTACAGTTGACGAGTTTGAGTTTCCGTGACGAAACAGTAAGTACGAAAGACAAGCCAATGTACTTTTGATAAGGCAAACTGCCAAAGTCACTCATCGTTTACATCAGGATCTCAAGCTGTGCAATCATTAACGAATCTGCAACATCAGTAACTCCGTTCACAGAATATGAACACAGATTGTGGACCAGCTAAACTCACATTTTTTCAATTCTACTGCCTCATGTGAAGTTTCCTAGGGAACGATACATTTAATAATTCCAGTAAATTCAATCCAGCAATCCTCATCTATTGAATATATTATCCGCTGTGTCTTACCAGGCATTCTATGCCAAATGTCATCCTATGCCATCATGGCATCCAATATTCCTCTTCAGCCTTGTAATCTGTCACATACACAGATTATTTGTTCCAAAAGTTAGAAACGACGAACCAGCCTGGATATCATTACCCTGTTCAATTAACTGTTTATTTAACAGTTTACAACAGGACCTAATGAGAGCGCAAATGATTCTGTCATTAACGCAATCAATAAATAGGCTTTCATGAATGTCGATCTACTATTAATACATCGGCTATGGCGGTGCCTCGCGCTAAGATTTTCATCTGGTGCGTTGCTGAAGGCATGAAAATTCTCTATAGCAGCTTTTTACCATTGAAGAGTTATTTTCTCGTATGCTAGCAAAAGCCGCAAGAGGCTTTTTCAGCGAGACTTAGGAACAATAAATCTACTTGCTTCACTATTTGACTACACTGAATCTGCGAAGTGAGCATGAATTTCATCATAACCCAAGCAGTAACAGCGAATCGCCAATTCGGCGAAGTCATTCGAATGAACATTCTGATAAAGTGTAGCAACTGTTGCTGCTTAATGGGTAGCACATGCAGAAAATGTCTTCAGTACACGTCCAACTTCGCACAAAAATACCAGTGCGGAAAGTTCCTTCCACTGTGCACAACGACTTTCCGCGTGATATAACTTTAAGCACTCATAAATCAGTTTAAAGCACAGATTTAGCTTTTCCTTGAATTTACAATCAGACGGGTTTTTAAACGACAGAGCGTTGGACTCGTAGTCGCAAGATTGTAGGATTGGGCCCGGTCGAATTACTCTCCATTTATCCTGCGTTGGTAAGCCCCGAACATAAAACCATGGCAAGGCTTTTACACCATATTTTGGCTGCTCTTGATGTCATCTTATAGAGGTAACTGAATAATCCGCTGGGGCACGCGTAGTGACATGCTCTGAGGAACGAGCAGACAAGTAGAAAGACAGAGATACCGAGCGACAGGCGCAAAGGAAGACTGAAATATGTGAATCTTCATTCCATAATTCAAATACCTTGCTATAAAATAAAAACAAGAAACTAATAAAACACAGTACCACGTTTCACTCCTGGTTGGTATGGAACTTTTTCTTCCCAGTCCTTTTCATTTTTAGCTTTCTCTTCCAAAAACTTGAGCAACTTCTCCCGATTGTAAGGCCCCGTTGGACCTTTGGTCGTCTGGTCACGGCAGCGCTGTGAAGGTGGCAGTAAAGAGTTCTAAACGCGAACAAAGATATAAGTTTCTGAACGGGCACCTTTAAAAACAGAATGTATCTTTATCCGGAATGCAATAAGTACAAATTTATTATGCGGTTACATC